GTATAGCAGTCAGTAGGTTTCCAGAATAGATGACATTTATATAACCACCACTTGTTTGCACTGTAATGACCAGGAAGTGGATCTCTTATGTGGCTTGGTCCAGGTTGAGGCTGTTGGTGAAGAGAAAAAAAATGGAATTCTTCTAGGGTCTCCTTCCCATGGATCCATATGATCAAGATGTAATAAATGTAGCACAAGCAGAGGAGGGAAATTAGAGCACAAAAGCTGAGAAAGTGTTGTTCTTAGCCATAAAAATGCTGGCGTAGTGTAGGGCTATGTGGGTACCTACTGAAGTGCCACTGACTTGAAGATACTGTCCCCAAATCTGAAATGGTTGGAGTGAAGGGCAAAGTTACAAAGCTCAACCACTTGATGTGCCCTGGCATCATCAGGAATACCGTTCCTATCAGCTAATAGTCCATCCTTGTGAGTACTGCTATAGAGAGCTTCCATATCCACAATGACCTGGATGGTGTATTCAGGAATATCATTAATGTGCTGTAGTTTTCTCATGAAGTCAGTGGTGTCTCAAAGATAGCTAGGAGTGCTGATAGGGTAAAGACTGAAGAGAGAGTCCACATAGCCAGACAACTCTGCTGTCAGAATGCCAATGCCTGAGATAATTCATTTCTAGGCTTATGGATCTTGGGTAGAAGATAGATACACCCCTAGAGCTCTGATAAAGGATATTCTTTGTAGATCTGGCCCCCTGCTTTTGCAGAAAGTTTCTTGAGCAGATGGCGTAGTTTCTTTTTAATACTCCTCATTGGGATCAGAGGATAGTGGCCTCTAGAATGTGGTATTGGGATAGTTTCCTGGCAGGCTCTTGTTTGTAATTCAACTTATTCAGGATGACTACAGCATCTCTGTTGTCAGCCTCTTTCATTATAATATCAGAGCTGTTTCTGAGGCTGTGGATGGTACTGTGTTCTGCATGGCAGAGGTTATGGGGCAAGTGATGCTGTTTGTTCACAATTTTGGATCTTCTCATGTATAGCAAACAGGAGAAGATCAAGAATGAGCTTTCATAACTGGAGACTCTCAAATAAAACAACCTTCCACACACACTAAAAAGATGACAAGCCATTTAAAATACACACTTAACTTACTGACCTTTTTCCTCTGCAGAGAAGTAATCTAAACTACATGTCACAGAGGCCACAATAGTGGTAACCTTAGCTCACCCAACAATATTGTTAATCTAGTCAACTCCAGGCAACTCTCTAACAGCATATTCTACAGGCCATTATCCTCTGATCTGATGTTTAAAGCCTGACATGGACATAACCATCAAAGATGATTACTAGATTAGAACATCAGTGGTTTAGATTTAAATGTGATATTATAATACCCAAAAGCAAGTGTAGAGAAAATCTGATTAAGTCTATAGGTGCACACTTCAATGGAAGTGCATACACTCATGGAAATTACAAGACAAAATGCTTGCTTATAAATATCACAGGCAATTCTAGAGTCTCTCTTTTCTCACTTTCTTACTCTTAAAAAACACTAACCAACAACTAGGAAATTACAAGCAAAAACTAAGTTCATGAAAAGTTAGAGGCTGCCCAGCTAAAATTCACTAAAAAGTCAGAAGGTGCAAAAGTTCATGTTCCAAAAACAACACAAACTCAGCTGTGTCATCAGCTCTTTCGTGTATTAAATTTGTAATTTACTGTATAGCTGAGAATGTCATATTCACGTCACAAAACATAAGGGACGTGGAATGTGGTAGAATTATCATGGTTTTAAAACCTGAACACATGCATATTCCAACTGTAATTTTTAGATGAATAAACTTAATTTGCATTAATTCTTTTAAAATGTAACAAAGAAGTTGTTGTAAACATCTTAATTTAACAAAGTTTGCTCAAAGTAGTTTAGAAATCAAATATTCAGAGCAATATAATTAAGTTTCCTAACCAACCCACCTGCACCAAATGTGTGGCATATTAATTTGCTGAAAAATGTCAGTGGCAGGATTCTATAATCTGAGATAATCGCCTTCCATTCAGGAGAAGCCTGAAGTCAGTTTGATACTCAAGAACATGACTAATAGAAAACTGAGGGAGCATGAGTTAGAGAGGCTATTATTCTCATTTAACCTAAAAGAGAGTGTTTCTCTCCTATTCTCCCAACCTTATTTTTTTATTTTTATTACACTCTAGTAAAAATTACTCTCAGGATCAGATTCTTAAAAGTTATGGGTAAATCTATTCAGATTCATTGATTCTGTTGTAGCTATTAATCTGGTTGACGTGAATTGACAGTAAAAGAACTAACACCTAAAGACTGTCTCAGATCCTGATCCTGGAAGCACTTACATGTGTAGTCATACTGCCTTCAAAGGAAAAAAGATCCTCCTGAGTATCAGGCTAGTGTCCCAACCACTGATGACTTAGGTTCAACTCCCTGCTTTTCCACACAGACGTCCTGTGTGACCTCAGACAAGCCATTTTCTCTTTCTGCCTTGGTTCCCCATCTGTGACATGGGGCTAGTACTTCCTTACCAGACACTGTAAAGATAATTATATTACACATGGTAAGGGACTCACATTATGTTTCCGAGGGACACAAATACCTTAGATAGATATGATCAGCCTGGATATTGTGTACTGATAGATGAGTTTATACAGAAGTATCCAAAGTTTTTTTTTTTACTAACTAAATATTAGATAATCCATACTTTTTTGATTACAGTTTGCATTTAGGTCTCAAAAGTTACAAATCAACTTTGGAAACAGTTTGCAAGTGTTTTGACATTCTAAATCATTCTCTACCCCTCATCATCATTCTTTCAGAATAGTGATAGAGATCATAGGACTGGAAGGGACCTCAAGAGGTCATCGAGTCCAGCCCCCTGCCCTCAAGGCAGGACCAAGCTCCGTCTACACCATCCCTGACAGATGTCTATCTAACCTGTTCTTAAATATCTCCAGAGAGGGAGATTCCACCACCTCCCTTGGCAATTTATTCCAATATTTGACCACCCTGACAGTTAGGAATTTTTTCCTAATGTCCAATCTAAACCTCCCCTGCTGCACTTTAAGCCCATTACTCCTTGTCCTGTCCTCAGAAACCAAGAGAAACAAATTTTCTCCTTCCTCCTTGTGACACCCTTTTAGATATTTGAAAACCACTATCATGTCCCCCCTTAATCTTCGTTTTTCCAAACTAAACAAGCCCAGTTCACGAAGCCTGGCTTCATAGGTCATGTTCTCTAAACCTTTAATCATTCTTGTCACTCTTCTCTGTACCCTTTCCAATTTCTCCACATCTTTCTTGAAATGTGGCGCCCAGAACTGGACACAGTACTCCAGCTGAGGCCTAACTAGTGCAGAGTAGAGCGGCAGAATGACTTCACGAGTTTTGCTTACAACACACCTGTTAATACAACCTAGAATCATATTTGCTTTTTTGGCAACAGCATCACACTGTTGACTCATATTCAACTTGTGGTCCACTATGACCCCTAGATCCCTTTCCGCCATGCTCCTTCCTAGACAGTCGCTTCCCATCTTGTATGTATGGAACTGATTGTTCCTTCCTAAGTGGAGCACTCTGCATTTCTCCTTATTAAACCTCATCCTGTTTACCTCTGACCATTTCTCTAACTTGCTAAGGTCATTTTGAATTATGTCCCTATCCTCCAAAGAAGTTGCAACCCCACCCAGTTTGGTATCATCTGCAAACTTAATAAGAGTACTCTCTATCCCAATATCTACATCATTGATGAAGATATTGAACAGTACGGGTCCCAAAACAGACCCTTGAGGAACTCCACTTGTTATCCCTTTCCAGCAGGATTTAGAACCGTTAACAACAACTCTCTGACTACGGTTATCCAGCCAATTATGCACCCACCTTATCGTGGCCCTATCTAAGTTATATTTGCCTAGTTTATCAATAAGAATATCATGCGAGACCGTATCAAATGCCTTACTAAAGTCTAGGTATATGACATCCACCGCTTCTCCCTTATCCACAAGGCTCGTTATCCTATCAAAGAAAGCTATCAGATTAGTTTGGCATGACTTGTTCTTCACAAACCCATGCTGGCTATTCCCTATCACTTTATTACCTTCCAAGTGTTTGCATATGATTTCCTTAATTACCTGCTCCATTATCTTCCCTGGGACAGACGTTAAACTGACCGGTCTATAATTTCCTGGGTTGTTCTTATTCCCCTTTTTATAGATGGGCACAATATTTGCCCTTTTCCAGTCTTCTGGAATCTCCCCTGTCTGCCATGATTTTTCAAAGATCATAGCTAAAGGCTCAGATACCTCCTCTATCAGCTCCTTGAGTATCCTGGGATGCATTTCATCAGGACCTGGTGACTTGCTGACATCTAACTTTCCTAAGTGATTTTTAACTTGTTCTTTGTGTATCCTATCTTCTAAACTTACCCTCTCTCTGCTTGTATTCACTACGTTAGGCACACCTCCAGACTTCTCGGTGAAGACCGAAACAAAGAAGTCATTGAGCATCTCCGCCATTTCCAAGTTCCCTGTTACTGCTTCTCCCTCCTCACTAAGCAGTGGGCCTACCCTGTCCTTGGTCTTCCTCTTGCTTTTAATGTATTTATAAAAGGTCTTCTTGTTTCCCTTTATGCCTGTAGCTAGTTTGATCTCATTTCAGCCCTGTAGTCTGGTCTAGCTGAAACAAAAGACAGAACTATGTAGCACTTTAAACCATCTTGTTAGTCTTTAAAGTGCTACATAGTTCTGTATTTTGTTTCATCATTCTTTCAGTCTTTCTTTCATACCATGTAAATTGCCATTCTCCCTCATTATACACCTTTTTCTCACCTGCTTTTTTGTCTGAGTCTACTGACAAAGTGCCTAGTGCAAAAACTCCTCCAATGGCATGATGTAATTCCAGCTGATTGGTCAGTGACTAAAGCTTCCTGACAAGTTATTTTGACAATATATGGAAATAAATTCAGTGAGGGCTGCAGTATGACTATAGGAATATTAAAAAAGGCATATATACTGTACCTTTCTCTTGCTAGCTGCAATGACAGCAGGAAGCCATCGACTTTCCCTAGTGTCCATTAACAGGAAAATAATATCATGAGTATCAATAAGCCATTCAAGCTGTGCCACATCCTTTCGAGCCTGTTCCATGGTGACTTCAGAAAAATTCACTGGGTGACCTGGCATGGGGATGCTCATGTTAAATCCTTCAGCATTCTGAGGAAAACACACAGGACATGAGCATTTCAAAATAATGTATTAAACAGACCTGAAAGATATTATTCATAGAAAGGCCAAATTATTCATGTCCACAGACACTGAATTACTGTAGGAACAGTCAAGATCAAGACAAGAGTTAACAATTGGGTACTACTGTAGTCCTTATGAGCTGTTGGCTTTGATAAAGTCCAAGCTTCTTAGATATAAGGAAAAAATAGCTAAAAATGAATAGCCAGAAATCACACTATGCAATGATAGAGAGTACTACAAAAGACAGAAGATGGCTGAAGCCTGTGTTACCAATAATAACTGGTTGTAATTCATTTGCAATTATACATAAGTAAACATAGCTTTAGTGCAGCACCTCCAGCATTCCATTAATTGATACAATGCACCAGGAAAATTAATTTTTGCTTGTATTAGTGAGATCAGATTAATAGTATTTTAAGAATAAAAACTCAAAAATTAGATTATGGAAAGCATTTATAAATTGCAGAACTATTAACCGTGGTGTGTAACCTTATCCTATAAATCATCTTTTGTACCAAATGACTGGAGGATAGCTAACGTGATGCCCATTTTTAAAAAGGGCTCTAGAGGTGATCCTGGCAATTACATGCCAGTAAGTCTAAGTTTAGTACTGGACAAATTTCACTATATAGTGTGACAGACTTAGACTAGCAGGCTGCCACACACTAATAGAAGGCAGATATCTGGGCTTTGGTAAACAGTTTCCTCTTCTCTCAGTAACCAGGGCCGAGCCTAGTGTAGCATAATCAGGCGAGCACTTGGGGCAAATTAAAAGCTTGCCAGAAGCAGCAGCCTAATCAAAACAACTGCAGCCCAGTAAGGCCTGCTGGAGTTTGTTTCAAAGGTCTCCCTGCAGGGAGGAAAAGAACCCAAAGTCTGAGAATGAAGAGGTGCACTGGGTGAGAGCTGGTAATTGCAAGTAAGGCAGAGTGTCATGGAGGAGCAGGATGGACTTGCTCAGGTACTGGGAGGGATTGTGTGGGGGAAGTGGCCCAAGGAAGAAGCGGTCAGACTAGGAGTAGAGGAAATCCTGTCTGTTACTGCTGCCTATGGGTCCCTGGGCTGGAATTCAAAGTAGTGGGCAGACATTGTTTCCCCCCAATCCTCCCCATGCCACTACAGAGTCTCCCCCTGAGAGGGGACCCTAGCACTACAGAGGGATTTTCACCCCAAACTGTGGACTAGTCTATGATGAGGAGGGCTCAATAGCCTGTGACCTCT